TGTTAGCCTGTGTGCTGTTGAAGCTGTATTGGATAAGATTGATATCATTATTGAATATAATAAGACAACCAGAGATTCGAATTTTGGTTGATAAAGAGTTCCATCGAAACGAACAACCATTCGAGATGTTCGTATAAACATCACGAAGCATCACTGTTACCAAGTTTATTATTGTCTATTTACTGTAATTTGTGAACCTTGCAGCAATTTCTTATCTGTCTAGATCTTGGAAGCTAAGCAGAGTTGGTCCTGATTAGTATTCAGATGGGAGACCACCAAGGACGTCCAGAGTTGCTACACAGAGGAAGGCAATGGCAAACTACCTCTGTTCATCTTGTGCTTTGAAAACCCTGCACGGTTGTCATCAGTTGGCTGCAATCTGACGGCACTTCCCACCATCACGAAGCTAATATCATTTTCTCCACTGATGGTAAACTGGTCCTTGGACTCTTCCACAGAAAAGAGCAGTTGCTAGAATCACATTGCCAGTCAAGAAGTTCTCTCTTTTCACTGACAGCATGGCAAAGAATGCTAGCAAACATGGCGTTATACCGTCTCCAGCTGCAGTTTTGGCTCTCTATAATGGGCGCAGGCCCAGATAACCCAATGGTCACCACGTGGTATTGCGGTTACAGTGCTGGATTAGGATCTGGGAGACCCAGTTTCAAATCTCCGCTCTGCCACGGAAGCTTGCTGGGTGACCTTGGGCCAGTCACCTATACCAGACCTAAGCTAGCTCACAGGATTGCCATGACGATAAAATGGAGGAGAAAAGAACACTGTAAACCACTTTGGGCCCCCACTGGGAAGAAAGGTGGAGTATAAACGAAGTAAATTATTAAATAAGCAAATTTTAAACTGGTGGAGGCTGACTCTTTTCTCTTTGTTCACCCTTTTGCTAACTCCCCCACCCCCGTTGGTCCTGCCTCAGTTCCTTTCAGAGCTATGGCTGATGGGCAAATTTCTCATCTGTCTACAGGCCCTTCATGAACTTGACTTTCCTGGTGTTGGGCCCCACGCAAGCTCGCTCAGTGGCCCTTTTAGAAAGCTGAGAAGGAAGCACGTTTTGTAAGGACCCTTCAGTCCCTTCTTTGGTTTGCCACGAGCTCTCGTCTTCAGTGGAAAAGGCAGTGAAAGATTAAAAGTTTTGTCTAACATTGAGCACTGCACACCCACCAGTCTTCTGCATTTAAGTTTTTTTGTTGTTGAAATGTTTACCTACACTTTGGCCAGCTCTGGGTTAGGATATTCCTGGGGTATAGCCTGGGGAGGGCAGGGTTTGGGCAGGGGAGAGACCTCAGTGAGGTATAGAGTTGCCAGGGCCAAATGACAAGCCGGTGGGGGGCTTACCGGATGCTCCAGGAAAGGGGAGGGGAGACGCAAGCTGTGCCTACATCACCCGGAAGTGATGTAGGCATGTTGGTGACCGACGATCTGGTTTTTGGGCAAAACTCTATGGTTTGAAGCTAATTCTACCATAGAGTTTTGCCCAAAAACCAGAATGTCACCCCCCAACATTACCAACATGCCTATGCCACTTCTGGGTGAGGTGGGCACATTGTGTTTGGGGTGGTAAATCTCCCACACTGGCCAGCTAACCAGCACTGGGGAGAAGCACAGGAAACCGGGGGATCCCCCCGTGTGCCCGGGGGGACCTGGCAACCCTAGCAAAGTATAATGCCCTCGAGTCCACCCTCCAAAGCAGCCATTTCCCCTCCACCACGAACACTGTGTGCTAACTCTGAACAGAGTGTTCTAGGGCTAAACTAAAGGTTGCCAGTTCTGGGTTGGGAAATATCTGGAGATTTGGGGGGGTGGCATCTGGGGAGGGCAGGGGTTGAGGACCGGAGGGACCTCAGCGGGGTATAATGCCATAGAGTCCACCCTCTGAAGCAGTCATTTTCTGCAGGGGGAAGTGATCTCTGCGGTTGTAATTCCCGGATATCTCCAGGCCTTACTGGGAGGCTGGCACACATTTGGCTCAAAGGCGACGGAGGGTTCACAAGAGAGAACCAAGAAGGAGAGAGAAGAAGACCCCTCCCATGGGCCCGCCTGACCCATATGTCACTAAGCCATGTCAGTGACCGGCTATCCTGCAGTAGATGGGGGAGGAGGGGAGGCAGAAACCTTCCCACTGGCCTGTATCCAATACTCTGTATCCCACATTCCTTTTTAGTTACCCTGAGTTTTTCTTTTGATAAGGAAAGACACAGCAAACAAACAAACAGAACAATTCACAGATGGCCCTTTGATCAAAGGCCCCTTGTTTTGGCCTCTGTGACCACCAGCCTTTGCAAGAGCTTTTAAACGATGGCGTACAATGTGGGGGCGGAGGACTTAGCGGGTCAGAGAAAAGACTTACTGGAAGCCCTGGAGATCCCGGCAGTCCAGGAGGCCCCTAGAATTTTCGGGGGGAGAAAGAAGGGACATCTTAGAACTTCATAGAAACACACGAGAAAGTCAGTAATCTTGCATAACGCACACTGGAAGACATTAAGAAAAACCTTTTAAAAGATGTTTATCGGTATACTTAGTACTTGACCGTCCTTTAATTTTTTGCAGCTTATGTCCGTTACAAAAACGAACTTCTAATTCAGGGACTTCTGGGGTTTGAGAGGCCACACACAACCAGTGTTCCCTCTAAGCTGAGTTAGTGTGAGCTGGCTCAAAGTTTTTTAGCCTCCGGCTCTCACATTTTTGCCTTAGCTCAGGAAGGATGGCTCCAGAGCAAACTAATTCATGCAGTATCCAAATCACTTGCTCACAACTTTAATGCCAGTAGCTCACAAAGCAGAATTTTTGCTCACAAGGCTTCACTGCTTAGAGGGAACATTGCACACAACCTCATGTACCTCCCCACCCTCTTCTGGATACGCTGGTGTTACTGCCTTCACCTGGATAGCCCAGGCTAGCCCTGTATCCTCCGCTCTTACAAGCTAAGCAGGGTCAATCCTCGTTGACACCTGGACGGGAGACCACCAAGGAACTCCAGGGTTGCTACGCATAGGCAGGCAATGGCAGGCCACTTCCGAATGTTACTTGCCTTGAAAACCCTACAGAGTTGCCATGAATTGGCTGTGACTTGACAGGACTTCTCTCCACCATGACTTCAAATTTGGTGGTCTGGGCTGGCGTAACTTTCATGAGCTGTTCACTAGGCCAATGTTACCAGAAGTGTGCTCATCCAGCCACACCCACCTTTTGCTTCTTATTCTGTTTACCTTGTTTGTTGTCAAAACCCAGGGCCTTTTTTGTAGCAGGAACTCCTTTGCATGTTAGGCCACACACCCATAATGTAGCCAATCCTAATGGGTTTCTGCTGTTGGGTGTGGCCTGTTATGCTAATAAGTTCCTGCCGGGTGTGGCCAACTCGGGAGCCAGCCGGAACTCTGTTCCTGTGCGTTCCTGCCCAAAAATAGCCCTGGGCCTGGGTATGGAACAGGAATGGCCTTGGTTGCTGTAGCAGATGACCCATGCTACTCAATCAAAAGGTAGAGTGCATCCCCACTGGTTCTTCTGGTCCTCCCATTGGCTTTTAATGCTATGAGTCATGGGATACTTCTGGACCGCTTGGCTGGGTGCACAGTCTTGCAGTGGCTCCGATCTTTCCCAGTTGGTCTGTATGTCTCAGAAGATGGACCTGGAGGACTCTAGCGCCATCTTGTGGCCACTGGTGTTGCAAGGTCCCTATGCAATTTAAAATCTACATAAAGGTATCCGGTGTTCTGGAGTAGGGTGTCATCAATGTGTTGATGACATGATCTCTTCCCCTACTTTCTATATAACTCTGGACCAGTGTTCCCCCTAAGCTGAGTTAGTGTGAGCTAGCTCACAGCTTTTTAGCCCTCTGGCTCACAAGTTTCTGTCTTCGCTCAGGAAGGGATGGCTCCAAAGCAAACTTAATTTATGCAGGCGCCAAATCGCTCGCTCGCGACTTTCATGCCAGTCACTCACCAAGTAGAATTTTTTCTCACAAGACTCCACAGCTTAGAGGGAGCACTGCTCTGGACAACCGCTGGAAACCTAAACTGGGGCTTTGGACCGAACAGCTTGACGCAGATGAATGAAATGGACCCTGATCCATACAACGCAGTACTGTGGACCGGGGGTAAAACTCATTCGCAGCCCTAAGAGCCCAGACTAAAGTCAAAGTCAAATACCTTTTATTGGCATACGACCAGACTAGCCCAATCCTGTCAGAGCTCAGATGCCAACCAAACTCCGTAATTACGTGGGAGACCACGAAGGAAGACTGGGACTGCTACGCAGAGGAAGACAACGGCAAACTACCTTTGATCAACCTGAGAGCCAGTTTGGTGTCGTGGTTAAGTGCGCGGACTCTAATCTGGGAGAACCGGGTTTGATTCCCCACTCCTCCACTTGCACCTGCTGATGTGACCTTGGGTCAGTCACAAGCTCTGGCACAGCTGTCCTTGAGAAAGAGCAGTTTGTGTCAGAGCTCTCTCAGCCCCACCCACCTCACAGGGTGTCTGTTGTGGGGAGGGGGAGGGAAAGGAGTTTGTAAGCCGCTCTGAGACGCCAAGTGAAGGGCGGGGTATAAATCCAATCAATTCTTCTTCTTCTTCTTCCTCTTCTTCTTCTTCTTCTTCGGATCATCTCTTGCCTTAGAAACCACATGAGGAACTTCATGGGATCGCCGTGAGGAGATGGCAACTCAGTGGCACATGACATGTTCATACCGGCTGTTCGCCATGAGATCACACACATTTACAGGATCACGTTTACAGTTTGGGGGGGTTGTTACTGCCGCAGGAGACGCTGAGATGGACGGGAGTGCTTTTCACCAGGTACAGCCCTCTCTGGAAAAAGCAGATCAGGCCACCATGATACGTGCCTCGGTTAACATCCAGGCTAGACTCTGTTGTGAGGCAGCCTTTGAAGAATATCTGGGAACTTCAGTCGGTGCAAAGACTGCGATGAACATACATGGCCAGTGCATATCACATCAACTTCCCTGGCTTTCGGTTCTGTAAAGGTAAAGGTTCCCTTGCTCGAAAGCCAGTCGAATCCGACTCTAGGGTTGCGGTGCTCATCTCCGTTTCCAAGCCGAAGAGCCAGACGTTTCCGTGGTCATGTGGCCGGCATGACTGAACACCAAGGCGCACGGAACGCTGTTACCTTCCCACCGAAGTGGTACCTATTTATCTACTTGCAATTTCTTGCTTTCGAACTGCTAGGTTGGCAGGAGCTGGAACTAGAGACGTGAGCTCACTCCGTCATGCGGCACACTCGGGTCTCGAACTGCTGAACTACCGACCTTCCACAGCCTGCAGTTCAGCGTCTTAACCACTTGAGCCACTGCAGCTTCCTTTCGGTTCTGTGTTGGGGCCCAATTCAATGTGTCAGGGTCAATCTTTAAATGGCTTATGACCAGGGCATCTGTAGGACTGTCTTGACCCATAAGACCCCGCCCGAGGCTTCAGATCTGTTCCCACTGTCCAGCTTCAGAGCCCGACGTTTGGCTGGTGGGCACACTGGGCAGGGTCTTTGGGTCTCTTGCTCCCAGGCCATCGTTCCCCTCCCTCCCTCCTTTTCACCAATTCTTAGCTTCTCTTATGGGACATGTTGCTTTTGCACCGATGTTTTTGTCGTTGCGGCTGAGTCATGTTTATACCATCTTCTTTTTAATTGCTACTGATGGCGACTGCAAGGTTCAGCTTGCGCCGAGGTTTGAAGTGCATTTCTAGTCGGGTTTTATTATTATTTTTTTTAAATCGATACTCTGCTATTGCAAATTGTTCAGTAGACCGACGCGGGTGCTTTGAAGCAGAATGTTTTAACGTCATGCTGAAAGGTGAGATACCACTGACCTAAATAAACAGTACTTACAGGTAGTCCGGGGTCTCCAACAGGACCAAATACACCTGGGGAACCAGGGAGACCTTGAGGACCCTGGAAGGGCAAGAAAAGAATGCTTTTAATAAAGTCCCTATCCTGACGACAACGTCATCTGGAGCTAGTATGCAAAGATACTTACTGGAAAGCCCATGAGGCCTGGGTCACCGGGATCGCCCTACAGAAAGATATAGAAAGCAATAAATACTGTCTTTATTTTTACTTATTAATTTTTTAAAAAAAACTAAGGTATCTCTCCAGAGAACCTACTTGAGGTGGTTAACAAAACCTTGGTCTCTTTGTTACCACAGCTGTACATGTCAAACTGGATCACAGATTCATGATTTAAAGGTTCCCTTTTTCTTCTGTGACTGGCTGATATGAACAACAGTTCACAACAACTGTGCAAGGCCAGACTCCGACAGGACTGCTACGGGAAAAATAACCCTGAAGCAGATATCAAACTGGTGTCTTAATTAGCTGGCAGACCATCAATTGCTATACTTTAATTGCTATACTGTACTGGAATTTGTTTGCTATCAGGACATTCAGAAATTGTTATGCTTTATGGGGACTGTTTGCAATTTATTTGTTATTGGGACATTCAAAAATGGTTACGCTTCATTGGAATTGCTTGCACTGTATATAGGGACTGTTTGTGCTGAATGCAATAACAATTTGTTTTTACGCAGTTAAGAACAATTGGGGTTTTTCTTCTTCTTTTTTGTGTGTGGCCTCTGGTACTCAGTACCTTTTGTGGTTTCTTACAGAGATCCCTCCTCTTCTTTGGTTTACAAAACAAAACATAAAACACAATAAACATGGCTAGCAATTAGAAACTTGGCATTAAAAAAAGCCATCCGGGGCATCAAGACAGCACCCAAAGCGTTGAGCCGCTTCAAGTAGGTCTCACAAAACAGTGTCCATGCTAGAAGCAGGCTAGAAAAGTGAATTTAAAAGGCCAGCCCTTTAATTAAGATGCCTGTACGCAGTTCTGGCCCAACGGACAGGTTTTAACTAAGTGAGATTTTTTTAAAAAAATACACAGACTACATTTGTTTAGGTGTGCTCTAATATCTTATAAGGCTATATGCTAATTTGTGGAATGTAAAAAGAGATGAACAATAAAAGAGGAAACATCAGCTGCATGTATGGCAAAAACTCCAATTCATATATGTATAAAACATATAAAACTATCCTCTAATATATACTGATCACACTTATTCCAACAGCCAAATTATGGCCCCGGTCACACGAGAGGTTTTGGGCCGGGAGAGGGACGGATCGGGGCCGCAGCAAACGGGCGCGATCCCACAGCAACATCTGGGAAGCGTGCCATGCCCGTTCCCGATCCGCCCCTTCCGCCCAAACACCGCAGCAAAAAGAACCACCTACCTAGGTGGTTCTTTCCGAAAGGCTGCATCAATGCTGGCCGTGGGATCGCCGGCGCATCCCCGCCCCCTGGCCAAACTGCGCATGCTTGCACATGTGCAGTTCGGCAGCCTCCCCCTCCCGATCGTCTCTTCCTCCCCGGCATCTGATCGTGCTGGGGAGCAACGGCGCCGCAGCTCAGGGGATCGTGGGATCCCGCCATGGCGTCTCTTTTTTGGTGCGGCTTTTAAAAGCCACACTTTTGCCGGTATTTTTCCTGCCATGTGGCAGGGACCTATATCAGGTAATTCTGTTTCAAATCAACTTGCTTTCTTTGGATAGCATGAAAGTCGCATGGGGGAAAAAGCCTCTTTGAAAGTACTTTACAAAAAAGAGGGGAAAAATTATGTGACTTTGTACAACATATGGAAGCTATAAAACTTTGCAGAGGGAGCAGTATCAGTTGAGGGATTCGTAAATATCAAACCACGAAATGTTCAAAGGTTTTTCAGTATATTTATAGCCAGCCTGCCCTGACCTGGACGGCTCAGGCTAGCCCGATCTCATCAGATCTTGGAAGCTAAGCAGGGTCAACCCCAGTTAGTACTTGGACCGGAGACCACCGAGGAAGTCTGGGATTGCTATGCAGAGTCGGGCCACGGCAAACCGTCTCTGAACATCTCTTGCCTTGAAAACTCCATGGGGTTGCCGTAAGTCAACAAACAAATAAAAATAGCCAGCCTCAAACTGGTGGCATGATGAACCTTCTGGGAAAAAAAAATCAATCTTCAGAACACTGTCGAAGCAGCTGAAGACCTACAAACGTTTGCAGGAAGGTGGAGGACACATACCGCCCCCCCCCTATCCAAGACACGGAACAACCTGGCACAAAAGCACATCGGTGTAGAAGTGCTGCTTCAACTTACCCTGAATTCTGCAGCCAAGTCGGGAGTCAGTACAAATGGTTCCCCTTTCTGCCCTTTGGTT